ATTTATATTCTTTGAGATATGGAAATATATTTTCTCAAAAATCATTGCAAAATCGATTAGTAAAAATATTTTAAAAAATGTTTTTATTCCCCTTAATTTTGAACATTCCAATTCGCAATCTTTAATAAAAATTTACACAAAATTTTATTAATTTAAGTTACTTATGCTATCAGACAAACTTGTTTCCCAGAGCTTATATAATATATGTATGACATTTCATAATATATTCCAAATACCGAATTCCAAAGCGTCATGTTCTGTAAAATCTCCTCAATTGATAGTACAGAACTTTTGGAGTCAGCATCAAAAAATTGCCCTAACCTTTCTACCCTCGAAATTATTTCCCTTTTATCAATCGGATTTAACAGAGCATTTTTGGGATTTCGTCAACTATTACCATATCTTAGCTCTTTTGCAAATTTAAAATATCTAAGAATCGACTGCAACAAATACAATTATTATAATGGTTCGTGTAGTGACCAACTTTTCAATGAACTTGGTAAACATTTACCCAAAAGATTGGAAACCCTTTCAATTGAAGGATATCTAAATTTTTCTGCGGATTCTTTTAAAATTTTTTTGCGTGAAGCAAAAGGAATACATTTCAAATCTTTAAAATTCCCGCATTAATATATAATGGACGAGCATTTAGAAATCATTTTAGAGGCTATAAAAAATTCAAATTTGGATGTTGGAATTCAACAAATTGAAACTAGGTCTTTTTGCACAAGCAATCAAGTGGAGAAATGTCAAGACACGGAATCACATTAAAGACAAATGATTTTCACAATGAATACACGTATTATCCATTAGATTCAAAATTTTTTTTCTTGAGTTTTATTGATGTATCTTTCGAGAAATTCGTTCAAAAATTCTAGATCCCAACGTTTAACTTAATCATGATTCAGACAATATTCGAATTACTATTTATAGTTTGAAATTTATCATGTATTTTTATTTTTTTATTATCGCTATGTACGCTAAAACATTTTTTATGCTATTTTCTTCTTATTTACCACCTTCACCCTAAATAAATATTGGAACATTTAAATTGTATTTCATCTGTCTTATCTTGCGAGATTGCTCTAGGATATTTCTCACGTAGATCTGCTAGGTGTGGATGATCTGAGGAGACCTTTTATTCAATTTATTTCTTTTTTGTCTCCTCAGGATGCCATTGTAAGTGTATGTACGAAGAAGAAAGAGATATTGCAAGGTGCAAAGGAACGAGAGGAGAAAGTGAAGAATGCTTAGATTTATTTAGTTTTGTTGCAGCATGCCATATATGCATCGTCCATTGAGTATGCTGTTTGCAACGTTGACTAATTTGTGCTTGTTTCTTTCATCCATCGCATTGATCCTTTTTTAAGGTCAATTCCTCCTTTTCGTTTGTTGAGGCCAGGCCAATGAAAAGGGGTCTCGACCAACCTACATTCCCCGGCGAAAGTAATGGCGGCCAGTTTTTTATTATATTTCATTTAATTGCATAATAAAATTTAAAAAATATATTTTTTTGAAAGTGCCTCTGAGTTGAGCACTGCCCTTAAATATCAGTACTTGATGTGCTCTCTTTCCGTGTCAATGCAGGTTCGAATAAAATTTTGTAACATGAATGTTTTTTAACTGAAAATCGTAATAATTCAATATGTTCATCTTATTGAGGCGAATACGTATATAAGACCAAAATGACTTGCCGTGATGTGCTCCTATTAGATTTTCGCAAATTCACCACATTTTTAATTGTTATTATCTTGCTTCTATAAAAATGCTAGTATTATAGTGAAATTTATATAACAATCTCACCGCCATTACTTTCGCCGGTGACTGTAATGCCAAAGTAGACCAATTATATTATGACATCAAAAAGAATTCGTGTGTGCTCTGAGGAATGGTCCAATTGTCCAGGCATGCTTCTCCAATGACATGTTAGGCATGGATTTGAATCCACGCAACAATATACTTGAAGTACACATCAAATTTTTCATTCTGTTCTTCTTTCATGACTTTTCCGTTTCAGTTAACAAATGAGCACATATGTAGATGAAAGCGAATAAGGTTCCAGAGCTCGCAACCAAGCAACACAGGGGAAAAGAACTTTCTGGATTACTTTAAGCAAGAGTACGCCGCTTTGAAATTACGCAATTCGTCATTCACAGCTTTAGCGAAACTCCATTTTAGAGACAAGGAAACCAGACTTCGTGCTCATTACCTGGATCCTTGAAGATTACGGCTGTTGGAGAGATAAGAGAGCGTATTGGACATCAACGGACATAGGACATTTCATCGCCTGCAATTTTAACCGATTGCTATAAGGTGGCAATGGTCGCTTCTACAATTTTACGAGAATGAAAGATAAGGCGGACGTTGAAGGTACCTACTTACTCTTTGGGCGGATCGAACCAGATCTCTTTTATGGTTACTTGGTGTTAAGGCGAATACCGTAAGAGAAACAGGGGTGCTGCAAAAATTAACACGTCTTCATATGCAACAAAATTCGTGATTTGGAAAAGAATGACATCAAGGATCGTAAAGTCATTCGCCAAAAATTAATCATCTGCCAGGATTAAGATTTAGATGATTTTTATCTTTAAAAGACATTATAAAGGATAACATTCCAATTTAATTAGGAAATTATGATTTGATAAGTATAGCTGATGCTTTTTGTAATAAAGTTCATTATAATTAATAAATTTTTATATGCTCTCCAAAACTTTATTAAGAGAGTTAATTATATATTACCATTTAAATATTAATTCAAGACTATGCGTGTGTTCAACTGATATTATGAATTCTTAAAAAGTAGTGAGTTTGTGTTGCTAGCTCATAATTTAAGTTTTATTATTATTATATTAATTTTAATTTTAGTCGATCAAGATTATGAACTTTTTTAAAGTAATTAAATCCGCAAGAGAAGAGTATTCTAGAAAAATCCTATTTGTGATTTGCGCATACCGATACCAGTGTTAAAATTCAATTATTCCAAGTTGCACAAACTTTAACTTGTTCTTTATCGTTATACGTACATGTATCAGAGTTCTGAAATATCCAACATACTCTAGATGGATTTCTATTCTTTTATGTGCATGCATACTAATTTCGTGCCAAATAAAGTAAATGTAAGAAAAGAACAGACATCACAAAATTTCTGCAAAAATTCTGAAACAACTGCATGATGCTAAAAGCAACTCCTGCTGTTCAATTAAACTACATTTACACAATCGATCTTATCCTTTAGAATCTATACATAAGTTTGCCAAACTGGACAATTTGAAGTCATGCAAGAAGTCGAATGACGAGTTCCAGACTTCTGAGTTTATGTACGTAAATCACCATTTGAAGAGTTATTTTTATTATTCTATTCTGTAAAAAATTATTACGTAAAATCATAAATGTCATAAATCCTTTTTTGAGACCGTCCCACAAAAATCTCTTGCGTTATGAAAATAGATTAATATACTGTATTACCAGATTTTAGTTAATTATGTGTATATATATTTTGAATACCTAAAATATAGTTTATTTCTAAAGATTTTGGACAACCCTGTTGTACCATAATTATTTAAAGCGAATAAGAGTGCTATCATTTAAAAATTTAAAGGAAGTTATAATTCATGACATCACTACTAAAATATATTTTTAGCGTGAATCATTATATATTAACGATAAACTATACTAAAAGAAAATAACATGGTAATGGTGGAAATCCATGTTCACGGAATAATCTAATTCATACTACGTATTTCCATGTCCTGTGGTTGCACTTTCCCGTCATGCGTCATTTTCAATAAAAAAAGAATCGAAGGTTTATTAGAGTAGACATTCGAAAATCTTAATTTCTATGCATAAGGAAAACTTAAATTTCTTGTTCGTTCCAAGAATTTTGTATGCCAATATGAAACTTAAAACATATCCATTGTTAAATTAAATTACTGCGATACACAAATTATTAATACTCTAACAACCAAAACATTACCACATCGATTAGATAAGATGAATTAAAAATTTAAGCTTTAAATCTCTTCCCATTGTCTCATGTTTCAAAAATCAGTTATGAAGTCAATGGTTAATTTTTCGTCCGCATCAAGTAACTACATTTCTTTGATGACTAAATTCGCTCTTGAAACATCTGCACAGTTATGCAAGTACCCTTAAACTTTGATCCAACTAAAAAACCAGCGAGAGAATACTAGTTGCGTTGTTACACAAAAGATAAGAATAGAAAATGAATCTGAACATTCCTTGTTGATTTGTTACACAAAATCCAAAACGGTTATTCAGTTTCGAATATGAGTTCATTGTCATATAAATACTTGAAGACAATGGACGAATTTACACTCACCGAACATTGAGAAAAGAATAAATACTAATATAAAGTCCGAATATTACATGCGATTATTGGATTATTTCTTTCGGATGCAAATAATACAAAGTTGTATTGGCACGACATTATGTAAATTAATGGCATTTACGTTGTTTCTTCAGTATCAAGTAAATTTGTTTCAAAATACAGCATCAATCAATTAAAACACTAACACTATTTTTTATCTTTGTTTCGAAATTTTTATGCGATTATCCATTCAATTCAAAACAATAAACATTGTTCATTTATATTACCTATGGGGAAAATCAGACAACGAACATCGACGCCACAAAGAAATTTGTTGAACGCCACACAATAATAGCAGACACTTCCCATCACTAATCATCACCCAGAATAAAAGTTTTATTGGAAAAATATATCAATTAATTTTTAGGTCAAGAAATTGAATAATTATAAAAAAGTGTAAAAAACTTTATTTATAATTAGTTAGTAAAATTAAAATTATAAAATTAAGAAATTAAAAAACTATATATAAAAAAAATATATAATATGTACTAAAATAAATATTTAAAAATATCTATATAATATTACATATATAGTTTTAATATAAATCAAAAATCTTTTAAATAAAAAATCATAAAAATTTTTGAATATATAGTAATAAATAAAATAAATATTTTTCTTTTACAATAACTAACAAAATTGTGAAATTATATATATATAATTTTATTAATAAAATACAATAAATATTAAAATTTTTGTCTTATATAAAATTTTTAATTTTATTAACAAATAAAGATTATAATTTATATTTTAACTTATATTTTTTCTGTATTTTTTAGATTTAATCTGATAAAATTGTTCTAATTACAAAGTTATTCCAAAAATTTTTATAATTAAAATATAAAATTAATTATAAAAAATTTTTGCAATAACTTTGCAATTATATTTAAATATATTAAAGTTAATCAATTTTCAAAATATCAACTGATTTTTTAAAATTAATTTTTAAATTATAATAAAGTTTTTAACTAATCAAATTGTTAATTTTTATTTATATTTAAATTTTTAAAAAAGTAATTTTTTCTAAATGCATTGCATTGTATTATTGATCTTTACAATAAAAGAAAATTTTATTTATATTAAAATATCAGATTGAATCAGAATAACTTTGTCAAATAAAATCTAAAAAATCCAGAAAAATATATATTAAAATAAATTATGATTTTTATTTAATATAAATATTTATTAATAAAATTAAAAACTTTTATATAAAACAAAAATTTTTATTTTTATTATATTTTATTAATAAAATTATATGTATAATTTTATAATTTTGTTAGTTATTATATATTAAAATAAAAATTAAACTTTATATTAGATTTTGAACTCAAACTAAAATTTGCTTTCTAATTATAAAATTATTATAATATAGTATTTTTATTAATTGTTTAAATAATTGATAAATACAAATAAAATATTAATTATTTTTGTATTTAATTATATTATAATAGTTAATTATTCAAAGTTTATTTAGCTTATATTTTTATTTTATCTTAATTTTTTTAATTTTATTTATTTAAAATAATTAATTTATAATTTTTATTTATTTTTATATTATTATAATTACATTTTATATGATCGAAAATTTTTAAATATATACTTTTTATAATATATATTTAAAGAATTTATATATTTAGAATTTATAAAAATATAATTTTATATTATAAACTAGATTAATATTATATATTTAGAAAAATTTAAAAAAGAATTTTAAAATTGCACTTTTTCTGAGTTTAATTATTAAAAAAACATACAAAATTTGACTTGTATATAATTATAATCTTTCTTTTTCTGGATTTAAGAATGTAATTATATAAAAATATAACTATATTATACTTATTATTCAAGTTATTAAGTAATAAATAAAAACTATTTTCAAAAAAAAAGATAATTATAAGGTAATCTGATTGTATACAAATTTTATAAATAGTATACTTAATTAATTTTAGCAATTGTATCATTTGAGAACAGATTTTTTTCTCTAAAATCATTTATATAAATATTTTTAATAAGTAAAAATTTTCTTCACGAATTCAGTAATAAAACAAAGAACATAATTGTTTTTATAGTCTATATAATATGGATTTTAATTTCTAAACATTATTCAGAAACTGCAAAATTAGAAAAACATAGCATGAATTTACATTTTTAGAGCTGTTATTCTACACAGAGGGTGTTGAATAATTAAAAAAATATGGAACAAGAAATGCCAAAACAAAAGAATATTGTGGCGCGTAATAATATGGACGATTTTGTCGCACTATGTTCATTTTGTTGCAGCACTTTCAATTTTTGTTTTCACGGGAGAACAATCACTACTATCAGTTCGTTCTTCGTATAGTCAACAAAAAGTCTGCAATTCTATGACTTTATATTTTTGTGCTACCTTTTTACGTCCAGTGTCTTTGTATGACAAAACTAAGAAAAAAAGGAAAATATGTGGTACGACTGATTTCGCGACTGTTTATACACAAAAAAGAAAACCATAATAAAGGAAAAAGCTAACTTTCTCTTGGGTGTTGATTATCAGTTAAATATGTGCGTGTTGTGACCAGTAATATGACCACTACGTAGTTGGACATGTTCGTTCATTGTGAAAATTGATGAATTACCAAATGCCTTCTTTCTTTATTTTAGATCATTCTTATGATATCGCCTGAAACGATGTGAGGTTACGTAACTTTTTCAGAATTTTTATCGTCATATCATTGTATTATTAAGCAAGCAAGCAAGTAACAAGTGAAATATGTTTTGAATAAAAAACAAGAATGTCGATATTTCTTCATTTCATTCAGGGTATTGTTAAAGATGTATGCGCATACATGTCTATGCATGCATGAACAAACTGCGTGAGTTGATGTTCTTCTTAGAAGACTTAAAATTAAGGTTTTAATATAAAACTACCATGTATATCGAGTCAATCCCAGCGCTAAAGTAGACAACACACTTAAAAAAAATTAGAGCGCCGTATTCCTGTTTTTAAGTTTTTCGTTATTGTTTTGGCTTCCACGCTATCTAACTGGAAATAACTGGTTTGATTAAAACGAAGAATAAGAGTTTTTCTTTGCGCTTTTGTTTATTTTTTTGGTCTCCTTTATGCGCGTCAGTTTAAACTTTTTTGAAACCTTTCCTTTTCGTTGATTCACTATCTTGGACCTCGCTTTCATATTCACGATCCGCCGGATGAAATAAGAAGTTTCTTCGAATTCAAAAGAATAGCCAAGCAAATTGGTTGAAACGAATTCAATTTCCCAAGGCAGAATCAATAAATCCAATCGAAAACAACAATTCCAACTTCTTAAAACGATAAAATTCATTGTTCCTAAAAAAAATAGTAAAAGATATGAACACGTACACGTTTTTCTTGCCTGGCGTTTTTGTTTTATTTTTCTTTAGGCATGAAGTTAAAGTTCTAGATGTTTTAGGTCACACATCATAATGTTTCAGATTAGCTAGGGTAAAATAATAGTTTTAGAAGGATACGTAACTCATAAAAAGTATTTATTTATTCCGATTCTTCACTGTATGCATGCATAAAGCATGTATATCTTTTTTTGCATCGATGCGTGATCAAAAAAAACAAACTATTTTTGGATTTTCATCAACTATGCAAGGACCCATAAATATAAATTTAAGAACAAGTTTGCATTTATATTTGGAGTTATGATATACGTATTATTTGAGCGGCACATACAAGAGCTGTCGTTTGGCGCTTGAATTCGATGGATTACATGAATGTGAAGAAATTTCATGTTGTATTTTTGTCGTCCGCTACATATTTTTGCCGCGGGAAAATTTTATTATGAAATCCTGAAACTTTTAATAAATTAACACGTTTTACACGAACTCAAAGTTTCCAGATTCCATAAATTCGCCCGTCCCATGGTTTTAGATTTTATTATGATAGGCTAAATTAATGTGAAGCAGAAAAATTAATGCAGTGCTGCACACACCCGAAATTAAAATAACGGGTAGATGATATGCATATAATATGTAAAGGTGCATGGATTTTACTTGTACACATCAATAGAAGTCATAAAAACCAATAGTTGACAATCAATTATATTGAATTCTGTGATTTATATTTATTTATTACGGCATCAAATATTAATCGAAATCAAAGATTTGTTGTTCAATAGACAAAAATATACATAACCTAAATTGACTACAGCTCATTCATTAGATAACATGGAACGGGATGAAATACGTGTATATAATTTCTTGAATTGATGATGCCACGCGAGTTTAATCTTGGTTTCGGAGAGGTAAATAATAAGTTTAAGTAATTGTGCATGGTGTCTCAGAGTTTATTCGTGTGTTTCTTTTATTATTATGGATATGGGAAGCTTGTAAACTGGTGGAGACTCATTACCAATCCCCGTTACGGTAAATGTTAATTTCTGCACTATAATTTAAAAAGTCAAGTGACGAATATGTTATTGAACTAGTAGTGGAAAAGGTAATAAGGCTGCATCATTACATATAGTGGTAGACTAAGTGTACATTTCGCGTTACATTGCTACAGTATAAACTAAAATTAGTATAATGTTCAACATTAGTATAATGTTCAACTGTAGCTGATTAATGTAATATGTAGCTGGCGGTTTTTCTGAATGCATCGGAGATATGAACTCACCATTTTAACTAATAAAAAAATAAATAACATGCATAAATAACTTTTTTTCTTCATTTTGAGTACCGCTTGCCTAAATTTTTATTAGAAATGATAGTCCCGATGTCCCGCATATCGATATGTTGTGGAGGTGGAGGAAATGTCTACCACTTGAATGGCTGTGACAACATACAAATTCCCGTTGTTATAGTATATGTTCTTTATATTTCACAGAAAAAAACCTGGATCAGCATGCAGCCAACCAGTTCACGTAGATATAACAATAGCAACAACTGTATACATTAAAGAAGGAAGAAAAGAAATTAACATGAAAAATCCACAGATAAAAGGAGAGGACGAAAAACGTCCCCCAACATTTGTTCATCAATAAACAAAATTGTTTATTTATTTATTGATTGATTTAATCAACGATATTAAAGTTCCCATCAGAATTTAGAACACCACGACGACGCAATAAATCTATTTGTGTTCTTACAAACATAAATTTGTACGCCACGACACAAAGCATCATTTATCGCCCAATATATATAAAGTCGCACTTTTTCGACTAAAAAGCGGTAATTTTTTTTGATTTTTTCTCTGGTGACTCTTTTTCTTTCCCCCGTTCTATATTTATTTCCTTTTTAACATACTTTCTTTCCGCTTTTTTTTGTATTCCACACTTCTTCAAAAAAAAAGAGCAGAGAAAATAAAAATGTCTTTACTACAGAAATTTGGAAGTTTCCGTGAAAGAACATCACGAAGAAGCGAACTAGTGACTAGCATTCATCAAACAACCACAGCAACACCCACAACACCCACAGCAAAAACCACAGACCAAACAAAAACATCATCGAAATTTAAATTCAGTAAAAAACTCCACATTCCATTCTTCAACAACACTGCAAAAACAGCACCATCGGATGCCACACTTCACCCAACTGTTCACTCGCCATCTCCATCATCAAATAGCAGCACCACATTAGTAAATGATTTGGATGATGATAAAGCTTCAGCAAAATCGGTTTCATCATCACACAAGAAGAATAATCTTCATCAACGTCGTCAGACAATCATTCATCGTATTGATAATGGCTGCAAACGAAATACTATTTGGACAGATACAGTTGATACGGAATTGGCTAATAATTTGTCTCCTTTGGAATTAAAACGTCAAGAAGTTTTATTTGAAATAATAAAAACAGAAGCAGAGTAAGTTCGTTACTTTTTTTTTTTTCACTTTTTACCGTTCTCATGATACTGGTTATTCGGTTCTCTTTTCCATCTTCTATTACTTTGAATTTTTCTCGATAGATAGTTTTTTATTTTTTATCTTCACGTTATTCTCAACAAAAAGCCCCTTTTTTAGTCACGATTTCACTTCGTAGTACTCGTTTTCATCCATTACACATGATCACATTGTGGTCAAACTATCAGTTTGATATGGTTCACCAATCGACTCACAAATTCTCCCCTGTAACACAAATTACATGCATTGCCACATTATTCTCACTTACCATTCGTATAATCCATGCATTTGTATCGATTAATTCACATTCTCCCCCTGATATTTGAATTTTTTATTCTCTATCGAATTTCCATTTTCTGAGAACCAATTGATTTTTCGCAATGTTGCATCAATATCCACTTATGTACATGATATGCAAACATGCATGCACATGACATTACTGTACATAACATTTAACTAATTCACGTGATCATTATCCCAATTAGATATGTACGAGACCTTCGATTGATCGAAGAACTTTTCATTCAACCAATCAAAGCGGCCGAGGCTAAATGCAACAAGACAGCAGTCCCAGAGAATCTTACTAAAGTGTTCAATGCCATCTCATACTTCCTATTCATCCATGAGGTCATCAGCAATGTAAGTTATTTTTTATTTGATCTCATACCATATCTTGAAGGAGTATTATCAGTAATACTAATCGTTACCTGTTTATCTCATACAGTGCTTAAATGAACGACAAGAGAATGAAGCTCCATTAGTACGAAGTATCTCTGATATCTTATTAGCCTACGTATGGGTCTTCCGTGCATATGCACCATATCTTATCCACTACGAAGAAGCTTTACGAGAACTTAATGAAAGTCTACGACGAAAGGATAAACTAGGAAGATTAGTCAAAAAGCAACAAAAAATACCAGCATGCCGTAACATGCCATTGACAACATACTTATTAAAGCCATTCCAACGTCTTCTTAAATATCCACTCTTGATTCAAAATCTGCTCAAATACACCGACAAAGACTTAGGGAACGACTATGAAAACACTGTCACCCTGAAAACAAAACTCGACGACGTTCTTCAGGATGTCGAGGAACAAAAACGAACACACGAGAACAAGGAACGTCTTCGTGGTCTTGAATCAAGAATCCACGGATTAGCCGGATTCCGATTGGCAGTTGACAATCGACAATTACTACGAGAAGAACCAGCTTTTCAATATTTAACACTCGTGAAGAAACCATCAGTTCGTAAATCTTTGACTGTCTTGACATCACCATCAGCCAATCTTAGACGTCATTCAGTACGAAATCTTTATGCATTAGAATGTAACGATATTGTATTGTTGGCCGAGAAGACTGGCGAGAATCGTAATGGTGATGCGATCTATCGACTGATTTCAAATCCACAAAGATCACCTTTGGATGAAGAACCAGTGATCGTTCGTAAAGCATCGGATTCTGGAGTTTTTTACGACAACTAAATCAATATAAAAAAGTTAAAAGATATAATTATGGACATAAATGATTCGTCTTTATTGCCTACAAAAATTATATATATATTAACATCATTTATCAACGTCACACATATCATATCATCTATTATTATTAATTGGCAAGACGAATCATTTTAATGGACCCTTAATTTTCATATTTACTCCCATTCTCATTCATCTCATATATTTGTATTTCATATATAATAATCCCGCGGGCGGGCACACCCGTCTGTCTTGTAAATTTAATATTTCAACTATCCCCTTTTATCAATAATTCACACCAAAAATAGTGTTACTATCTTTTTTCAAGTCATGTCTCGTCGCTTCTCTCTATTCCGCCGATGTTCTTTATATCGCCGGCATTCTTGCTCTTTGAGAAGCCATGATTTCTTATTGCGATGGTGTGTGGTGTGGAAACCTCATATTTTTTAAAAAATTAGATTTATGAATAGAGTTTTTCATTAATTATCCCCATTATATATATATTCAGATCTCTCTTACTACCTGTGTGATCTTTTAACAGAGTAGTTGCACTGTTGATTTCTCTTCTTATTCCCTATCAAATTTATCAGAACATTTTAGTTAGATGAACAAACACAAAATTTAGAATTATCATTAGATTTTATTATATACATTTTTCATCATTAATTATTTTTTTATCCCACATTCAACAATTAATTTTCCACACCACCGCACTCAATCGCAATTTGAAATCTAGACGGACACCTTCAATTCAATCGATCGTATTTGCGCTCTATGAAAATACGACAAGAAGACTTGTTTGAATGCTCATTCAAGCACCATTCTTTCGAGTTACTACAAACCTTTTCCCTGTATATATGTTAATCAAAGATCAGTGATCTCTTAACTTATCCGTGATCTCTTTGAAGAACAACAATTACAACAAACAACACGAACACTAGAGGACGAACGGATATTAATCAATCACACTCTCGCACAGTCAATCCGTTTGCTCCAGTCCAGTCCAGTCCAATCCAATCCAATTCATTGATAACCTTAATTTTTCTTATTTTCTTTGAACAATGCATTTGATTCATTGTAATCATCCGCATGATACCAGACTCTCGTCAACCAAGCTGATACGGAAACGCGACGCAAACCTTGTTAATTTTCGAACAATTCATTCTCTTTAATTTATCCTTACGCACTAAATATACAAATCACATACTTAAGCCTTTCTCGAATTCTTCTTTTTTTTATGCAATCCATTTTTATCTACGCTCAGAATTACATTTTCATTTCATTTTCCGAATCTATCCACTCAATCTTCTATGAAAAACATCAGTTCATCCATCGCTTGTTTCTCGATGCTCTGTTGTTTGATTATGTATCAACAATATCACCTTTTTAATATCCACAAATCAACCCTATTCACCACACCTCTTGTACGATACCCATCCTTTTCTATAGTAATATCCTTTTTTCCGATTTCCGTAATCATTTTCGCAAAATTATCAAAGGTTTTTACGCGTTGTGTCAAAGTTTCATGTGAAGTTGGCTCAAAATGTTCTTACGGTGTTAAACGGTGTTAATTCAGAGTCTGGGTTCATCAACATTGCGTGTATGGTTTTCAATGATTCTTGCCCGTTTTCTTACTTTGGGTTTATTTTATATCGGGAGCTGCGAGTAGCACATTTATTCACACCAGGTCGACGTATGAGGCGTCACCGGATAAAAGACATTTTGGTTTTTATATTTTCTAAAATTTGTACCTTTTTATTCTGTTCTGTTCTTTTTGTTCTGTTCTGTTTGTTCTTTTGTTCTGTTCTTTTTTTTTGCTTTAATTTCTTGGATTCATGTATATTATGTAGTAATTTCTGGTTTTTTATTTATTTATCTAGCCCTGACACGAAAAAAATCATGTAAAAAATCATTAGTGTGAGCATTTTAAAACACTGTCAGTCAAATAAACAAACAAACAGAGAAAGAACATACCAAGTAACACTTGTTGTTTGGTTGTTTTTCTCAGAGTTTCTTGTTACGACAAACATTTATTATTGTTTATGGCAATTTGCGAAATACTCGATGAATTTATTAAAATCAAAGTCAATCTTTCTGGGTTTTGTGAATATCTATGGCAGTTGGCTGCTTAGGATGAGCTTGGAAAAGTGGCACATGTAATATTGAATTTTAAGGTTCTGAGCATGGGTGATTTAGACTAATCATCTTCTGATGGTGGGTTTATTCTATGTTAACCTTTATAAACTTTGGCATGTAATTTTGTACAAGTGTTTCAATATGTAATTGCACATAGGTATCTGCTAATTGCAAAACGATGTTTATTGGAAACAGTAGACGTGTTTAATTTTACGCCATCGTTGACACCTGATATATGTTTATATCGCACTTGGTAAGTGAAATGGCTCGCATAATAAAAGAATGCAAGGTGCAAGTGATTGAGAGTTTTTAGGTTATGTTGCTAAAGATAACTATTTTTACGAGTCAACTTGCTTTGCACAATCAAGAACTTTCACAAGAAAAACAGAAATATCAAGCAACAATTTCACAGAGTGTAAGTTCATATTTCATTGTTAATGTTTAAATCAAAAAAAAAAGATTTTAGCCCATTTGCATATTTAAACGTATGGTGCTGGAAGTCTATACTCGACAATCACGTGAGATCTTTAAAACTTCCAGCATCGGAAATCTTCGTCACACGACCAGAGAGCTATCAATCACGTGTGATAGATTAATCTGATCAAAAATTTTTGGTTCATAAATGTCTTCATTGCGCGGTGGTTTTCTCGCCCTGCATTAGTACTCTCCGACCAAGAGTCTTTTCCCTAACTTCCCAAAAAGAATCAGAAAAGTTAAGCCTACGTACGAGTTCCCTTTTAGTGATGAGTCAGACACGGCTCCCTCCCTCCTTCTGCATCTAAGTTCCAAAAACGAGACATGGAGGCACTGAGGGTGAGCTTCAAGCCAGCTTCAGCCGAGAAAGATGTAATACCTAACGTTGAAGGTACGAACTACACTGTGTTAACAATGCTCTAATACTTATATTTCAAATATTGTCTAGTCGCTAACTTTCAGGAACAGTATATTATCCCTGATATCGGTACTGGAATACAGTACTTCAAAGTCGAGAATTGATGTTGGGAAGCTTGAAAAGTATCTCGGATTCCAAAGTTCAAACGTTCGTTTCCAAATTGCATGACGTGGTGAATGGTGTTCAGGTGGTAGGCAAAGACGAAACTTTAACTGATATATTTGTGGAGGATCTACTTCGTGTCGTTAATCTGAATGACTGGCCTTTGAGGGTCAGGTGAGTAATCATTGGAAGTCTTTTATTGTGGTGCACTTCAATCGTTCTAAAGTTTGCATTCTCAAAATTCGGAAGTCAACTGTCTAATACATTATACACCAAGGATGATCCTTACGTATCATCAGTCCCTGATGTTGTAATTGATAAGCAAAACATCGTTGAAAATGTTTTTGTTTTTGTTGTTTGGTAGAGTCAGCGTGTTGTTGACCGTTTGACAAGTTCTTATTTTCGTCAACTCAAACAACTTTCTTTTAACAGGACAAGCACCTGAAACATATCGGGCCAGCCACTATGTATGGGAAACACAGATCGCTGTAGAGATTCTTGCCTGTTGTAGTGAGAATATACGTTCGATTGGCAAAGAGAAATATATAGAACAGACCATGTTTGCCGTGTAATTCCTTCATATGTTACATTTTATAAAGCTGTGATTCCTGCGACGTATTTGGAGGAGCTTGGTTTCGGTTTGCCAAAAAAACAGTCAGTTGTGATTGAACGATGGCCGATAGAAAATGGTTTAAGAACTGGTTTCAATCTCGCAGAACCGGATGGAAGAGAAGCAGTGCTGAAAGCATTGACCAAAATTCGACATCTTTTGCAGACATCATTAGATTAGTTTAGCTTGTCTCGGAGCTCTTAGTAATTTATTTTTACGTGCTCTTAGTACGATTTATTTTTTTAATAAAGCATTTTTATTTGTTGCGCTAAAAATAAGAATTTTCATGTGACTTGCATATCAATTGGCGTTATCTTTATTTCACATGTGGTAGGTTATGGAGAATAATTCGTTAATCTGTTCATCGGATTTGCCTTTCAGCTGGAATTTTCAGGGCTGGTGGAGATCTCGATTTTCATTGCTAATTGTGGAGGGCTAATCAAGGATAAGCAACTCATTTTGATCTTTATTATAAGGTTTCCGCAATTACGTATTAATGATTTTTTCTTTATGCAGGATCTATAATTCGAAACAATTACCATAGAACCACCTTATATGATCGCAAAAAATTCCGAATTCGATTCTTAACTGGGAGATGCTACAAAACATATGAAAATATGGTGAGATTAACGGTTAGTCCTTTTATCCACTTTGCACAAGTAAAAATAAAAATTTCTAACAAATCAAACCTACCATTATCAAAATCGTCAATCAATCAATCGAACGAGGAAAAATATCCGCAAAGAAAAAACAGGGTATATGCTATGACCATTTCGATTTCTTTCATATATGCTAATCATCTTGCCTTTTCATAAATATTTCGGACATTTTGCTATTCTTGTTCTTTATCGACATTTTGAGAAATCTCTGTACATCATTACCGGCATGTGCCTTATCCGTGGCTTCCAAGTCGTGTCTCACTTGATGCGATATATCAAGGTAATTTAGTTATCAATTATTATTGAAAGTAATTATTTATTGATAATAATCAATTAAATTGAAGAAATAATTTGTTCACACATGTAAGTTAAAGGTGTCTTGATAATATGACAGGAAATTATATGTGTGAAAGTTGACTTTAATAGTATTTGAAACCCCTTTATAGTCATCACTCTTGGAAAGCAAAATTGGATGAATGTGATTATAAAGAGGGGGTTTTTTTACTATGTTTATATATGGTGACCTACAAAGTAATGCATCATCTAATTTTAAATTTTTAAATATTAATAACTTTTTATTGAGACATTATAAAAATATGCTAAAATA